AAAAAAAAAAAGAAAAATAAAATAAAAATGATGCCATCAGTATTTTAATTAATTTGTTTTTTTTTTCTACGATTTGCTTTATGTGTCATGTGGGGAGCTGATATTTTATTTGGGTGTGTTAAATGAGTCACAGAGACAGTGTGTGTGTTTTGTGTGTGTGTGGGTTTCCATTTTTCTCATATCTCATGACGACTAGTAAATAAGAGAGAGAAAGAGAGAGATTAACAGAGAGGGAGGCTCTGGTTCGAGTTAGAGAGAGAAAGTTAGGGATGAGAGAGAGATTTGTGTGAAGGAGGTGGTCCGATCTTTCCTTTTCGCGTTGAATTTCTCACACAGCTCTTCTTTTCACATATTCACATAAAGAATACTTACATACTCAGAAAGGAAGAGAGAGAGAGAGAGAGATGGAGGGAGAGGCTAGAGAGAGAAAACACCATTTTTCATAAGCTATAGAGAGAGAGAGAGAGAAATAGTTAACAGAGAGAAAGAAAAATTAATTCAATCAGATTCTCACAAACATTTCCTCAGATTCAATTGTTTGCCCAATTGATTTTTTGATAGAGAGTAAAGGGGGAGGTATGAGAGCGGGCCTGAACACTATCCAGCAGACGCTGACCCCTGAGGCGGCCGCCGTTCTCAACCAGTCCATAGCGGAGGCGAGCCGCCGCAACCACGGCCAGACGACGCCGCTCCACGTGGCGGCGATGCTGCTGGCGTCGCCGTCGGGGTTCCTGAGGCAGGCGTGCATCCGGTCCCACCCCAACTCCAGCCATCCGCTCCAGTGCCGCGCGCTGGAGCTGTGCTTCAGCGTGGCCCTCGAACGGCTGCCGACGGCACAGAGCGCGGGGGACGCGGAGCCGCCGATCTCCAACGCGCTCATGGCGGCCCTGAAGAGGGCGCAGGCGCACCAGAGGCGGGGGTGCCCGGAGCAGCAGCAGCAGCCGCTCCTCGCCGTGAAGGTTGAGCTTGAGCAGCTGGTAATTTCGATACTCGACGATCCCGGCGTGAGCCGCGTAATGAGGGAGGCCAGCTTCTCCAGCCCGGCCGTGAAGGCCACAATCGAGCAATCCCTAAATAGCTCCAGCTCTCGCGCAAGTCAACGTCAGCACCACGTCGCCGGCGGGAGCACGAATTTCGTGGCGGGTTTCGGTGGAATTGCTTCTAGAATGCTTCCAAATCCTGGTCAACCGCCAACTCCGGTGGCTCGACCGATGTCTCCGGCGGTCCCGTCTCTGGCCAATCGGAGCTTGTTCCTGAATCCGCATATGCAGCAGCAACAAACACCCACCGCCCAGATTGAGAACCCTAGAGGCGAGGAAGTCAAAAAGGTGTTCGATATAATGTCTAGGAGCAAAAAGAGAAACCCAGTTATTGTTGGGGATTCGGACCCTGAGGCCGTGGCCAAGGAATTGTTAAGCAAAATAGAAAATAATGAACTCGGAAATGATCTGAACATGAAGAATCTTCAGATAATATCAATTGATAAAAGTCTTCTTTTGTCCGACAAGAATCAAATAGCTACCAAGATCGATGAATATGAAAGGGCGATTGAGAGCAAGATTGGGAATGGAGGGGTGATTCTTGATCTCGGAGACTTGAGATGGCTGGTAGAGCAGCCAGCGGCTGCAGGTTTCAGTGGGGCCCAGAAACAGCAGAAGGCACCGGTTGTGTCCGAATTGGGCCGGGCTCTGGTGGTGGAGATGTCGAAGCTGCTGGCCAGATTTAGTGGAGCTGATGGTCTGAATGAGGGTAAAAACAAGCTCTGGTTGATTGGGACTGCAACTTGCGAGACATATTTGAGATGCCAGGTTTATCATCCCACCATGGAGAGTGACTGGGATTTGCAGGCTGTGCCTATTACCTCGAGATCTCCTGTTCCGGGAATGTTTCCGAGGTAATTTCATTTTCATTCTCATTTTCTTGCTTTGCTTTCTAATTTGTTTCTTATGCTGCGTAGTTATGGAGATTTTGTGAAATCGATATATTTGGTATGCTTACTTTAGAAAGAATGGGGTTTGTGTGATGGAGTCTACTATCTAGTCTTGATCTTCGGTTGCCACCGAAGAGTAGTTCATCTGCAAATATCTGAAAATCAAATTTCTTGTTTAATTTTGAAGTACAGACTTCTCTCGGTTCATTTTATTTGGATTGGTCGGATTCTTTTATTAGAGTTATCTTCCTAACATCTGATCATTTATATTTACAGGGTTGGACCGGAGAGAACCATGAGCAACCCCTTGGAGTCCCTGAATCCGGCTAACCCTATCCGAAATCCGTCACCTACTTTAGCAACGCGTTTAACTGAAAATTCAGATCCTGCTACAAAACAATCTGTTCCAAGTCCCTTACCTGCTTTGTCTAGGCGCATATCTGAAAAGTTGGATCCTTCTCAAATACAGCCTAATTCAAGTCCCTTGCCTGGTTTGTCAAGGCTTATGCCTGAAAATTTGGATCCTGCTCAAAGACAAACTGTTCGGAGTCCATTACCTGGTTTAGCAAGGGTTATTCCTGAAAAGTTAGATCCTGCTCAAAGGCAACCTGGTCCGAGTCCATTAGCTGGTTTAGCTAGGCTTATTCCTGAAAAGTTAGATCCTGCTCAAAGTCGACCTGCTCCTAGTCGGTTACCTGGTCTAGCGGCTCTTATTCCTGGAAATGTAGATCCTGCTCAAAGACGACCTATTCCAAGTTCGTTACCTGGTTTGTCGACACTTACACCTGAAAATTCAAATTCTGCTCAAAAACAACCTATGGCAAGTCCATTACCTGGTTTGTCAAGGCTTATACCTGAAAATTCAAATCCTGCTCAAAAACAACCTACGGCAAGTCCATTACTTGGTTTGTCAAGGCTTATACCTGAAAATTCAAGTCCTGCTCAAAAACAACCTATGCCAAGTCCATTACCAGGTTTGTCAAGGCTTATACCTGAAAATTCAAATCCTGCTCAAAGACATCCTACTCCGAGTCCCTTACCTGGTTTGGCAAGGCTTGTACCAGAAAATTCCGATCCTGCACAAAAACCCACCTTTTGCCCTCAGTGTTCAGTGAATTACGAAAAAGATCTAGCGAAAATTGCAGCCATCGAGAAGTCATTATCTCGAGCCAAACAAGATAACCTTCAATCTACCCTGCCAGTATGGTTGCAAAACGCCAAACTCAACAATCCTGATGCTAAAACCACCAATGAATCACAAGTATGTTTTTTTTTTCTTTTTTGGCTTGATTTCAAGATTTGCTAAAACAGAGAAGTTTAATCAAATATAATCTGTTGCTGAAAGAGAAAATATTCACATGTTTGCAGGGAAATGACCAAATTCTGCTTTCCAAGCAGAAAACTCAAGAGCTCCAGAAAAAATGGAGGGACACTTGCATGCATCTCCATCCCAATTTTCATCAAAATACCCTTCCTGAAAACCCTGTCCGGCCTGCCGTGCCATCTCTGGCAGGCATCTACAATCCAAACTCGCTCGCCCATCCCCCTTTACAGCCCATCAAGCCCAACCTGTCCAAACCTCTCGGGTCAACCCTGAAGCTGAACACTGGCCCAGTCACAACCCAACTCGTCCCTCCAGCAACGCCGAAAAGCCCGCTCTCGAGCCCTGTGCTGACGGACCTCGTCCTGGGCACCAAGGGCCTGGAGAAACCCGCGGAGGATCATCCAGCCAAAGACCTGCTCAGCTGCATCTCATCCGAGCCCATGACAACAAACAAACCGCTCGAGAAATTCGCCGACGAGCTGGATGCCAGCACGTACAAGAAGCTCCTCAAGGGCCTTATGGAGAACGCATGGTGGCAGGCAGAAGCCGCCTCAGCCGTGGCTTCGGCCATCACGCGCTGCCGCCTGGGCAACGGCAAGCAGCGGGGAAGCGGCAGAGGCGACACGTGGCTGCTGTTCGCAGGCCCCGACCGGGTCGCCAAGCGCAAAATGGCTTCCGTGCTTGCCGAACAGATCTGCGGGTCGGGCCCGTTGATCATCGGACTCGGCGCGCATCGGGAGGACGAGCCCGACACGGGCCTGCGAGGCCGGACGGCCGTCGACCGCATCGCCGAGGCCGTTCGCCGAAATCCTACATCGGTGATCGTGCTCCGGGATATCGATGAGGCTGATGTGATTGCGCGTGGGAACATAAAACGCGCCATTGACCGCGGGAGGATTAACGACGCGCACGGCCGCGAGGTCGGCCTCGGAAACGCTGTTTTCATCGTGACGGGCGATTGGTCGACGGTTAGCGCCGAGGCGTTACGAGACGGGCAATTTGTGGACGAACGGAAACTGAATTCGACAGCTGGCGGGAGCTGGCAGCTGGGGTTGATAGTTCGGGAGAAGACCGCCAAGCGGAGGGCAAATTGGACCAATGACGGGGGCCCGAGGAGTCGGCCGAGGACTGAAACGGGCTCTAGCGGTGGGCTCTCGCTGGACTTGAATCTCTCAGCGACGGCGTACGAGGAAAAATCCGTCGAGTCGAGCGAGGTGTCGGCGGTGGACGGAGGGGACGATGCGGAGCCCACGGACGGGGGTTTCTCGATTGTGTCGCTGCCGCACGACCTGGCGAGCTGCGTGGACGACTCGATCGTGTTCAGGCCAGTCGAGGCGGCATTTGTGCGCCGTGAGATCAAGAAAACGATAGCGGTGAAGTTCTCGATGGACGTGGATGAAAACCTAAAGATCGAGATAGGGGATGACGTGCTGGACAAGATACTTGGAGGACTGTGGCACGACTCGACTAGCCTGGAGAAGTGGGTGGAGGGAGTGGTGGGCCCGAGTTTCGAAGAGCTTAAGCCGCGTCTGCCGGCAGGGGATAGGAGCAACTCGGTGGTTCGTCTGGTGGTCGAGTCGGACTCGTGCGATCGGGGGAAGAGTAAAGGAGATGTTGTGGACTGGCTGCCGAGTAGCATCTTGGTGTAGGGAGGGAGGGATGTAAGTAAAATTTTGGAGTTTTGTTGGGGCGGTTTTGTAAATAGTGGAGGTGTTAGGGGTGAAGGTGGAAGAGTTTAAAATGGTTTTTTTTTTTTTCTT